CACACACACACAGTCACCTGTTCAGTAACGCCTCATGCGACCATCCACCTCACCCATCCCCGCCACACGCGATGCTCACCAGTGAAGTCGACGAGCACAGGCGTGTCGGCCTCCAGCACCTCCTTCTTGAACTCGCCCTCAGGCACCTCTGCCGCCGCACCAAACACCCTCGTCCGCCCGCCGCCCCTCGCCCGAAGGCTCTGCTGGGAAGGCCTGAGGACCGATGAAAGGCGGGATGGTGCGATCTGGAAAGAGAGGGCGGGGGTGAGGGCAAGCAGGAGGGCCGACACAAGGCAGCACAGGGCGGCCAAGGGACGGTGGAACGGGGAGGCGTGTGCCGTCATGGTGCGAGGCTGAAGGAAACAGGACGTGGTGGTAGACGGGCACCTGCAGCTGCCTTGTGTAGATCTGGCTGGTGTTGCTCCTGACGGCAGGTGTGTCTGCGGCTCTGATCTGCAAGCTTCGCAACTTCGCCGAGTTTTCCAAGCAACTCCCGTTCGCGACTTCTGAGCCTTTGTTTGGCCTCAAGCGTTCGGTGTTCGTTGACTTTGCATCCTCCGACATGGCATTTCAGCTCCCCGCTCTCCCCTGGGCCAAGAACGGCCTCGCCCCGCACATCAGGTGAAGTGACGCATGCGCCACTCACACGGGCACACACATGCATGCACCAGCAGCCGCGGGCAGACAGCATCTCGTCGGCCAGATCTGCCGACGCATCCACCACCTCCCTCACACACGCATGTGTCTGTGTCCGTTGTCTGTCTCTTCGTCTTGTCTTTGTGTGTGTCGTGATCAGTGAGGAGACGATCAACTACCACTACGGCAAGCACCACGCCACGTACGTCACCAAGCTCAACGGCCTGGTGGAGGGCACGGAGAACGCCAAGAAGGACCTGGCGGACCTCGTCAAGACCACCGACGGCGGGCTCTTCAACAACGCCGCGCAGCACTGGAACCATTCATTCTACTGGAACAGCCTCTCGCCCAGTGGCGGCGGCGAGCCCAAGGGAGCCATCAAGGCGGCCATCGAGCAGGACTTCGGATCTTTCCAGAAGTATGTAACACACACGCGCACACACTCAGAGAGAGGACACCCACTTCTGTCTGTATGCGTGTGGTGTGGTGTTTAGGTTCAAGGATGATTTCTCTGCCAACGCTGCGGGTCACTTCGGCAGCGGGTGGGTGTGGCTGGTCAAGGGCACCGACGGCAAGCTCAAGATCCACCAGACTCACGACGCCGGCAACCCGCTCCGCGACGGCGCTGGCGTGCCCCTGCTCACATGCGACGTCTGGGAGGTCAGCCAACCACACCACACCCACACCCACACACGCGCCATTCCCTTGTGTGTGATGTGTGCAGCATGCCTATTACGTTGACTACCGCAACGACCGTCCGTCGTACGTCAAGGCGTGGTGGAACCTCGTCAACTGGGACTTCGCCAACAACAACCTCGCTAAGGCCTGAGTGAATGAATTATCACTCACACCGACCGACACCCACACCCACACCTGCACACATCCCGAGAGCTGAGATGCATTCACACGTGTGACGTGTGGGGCCGGGCTGCATGTGGCTGGCTGATGGGCTGATTGGGGGGACGGGTGGCTGGGGGGCGGGCGGTTTTCCCTTTATCCGTGCCGGTTGTTGACGGAGGCGACACACACGTGGCGCACACATGAGTAGCGGGTAGCTAGCTGGTGCCAAGAGTAGGTAGAAAGCAGTGTGTGTGACGGACTTTCTGTTATCCCATCTAAGTACTCTCGCTGTCTGTCGCCCGGAGGGACACCAAGTGACCACTTGCAGCCGCCTGCACCAACAGGACGGTACCGGTGATGACCACCGGTGTTGTCCGGTTGGACAGTCGTTGGCGAGTGGTCACTTGAGGGATGCCCATTCAGGTGGAAGCGGCAAGCGATGAGTGTTCTTTCCCGTGCGTGGTGGAGTGAGATTAGCGACTCCCAAGACATCATGTGTGCGGTGGGTGGGGGGATATGTGTATGTGTGTGTGTGCCCGTTTGCGTTGTGTGCGAGGAAATGGGCGCCAAGCGTCCTCTCCTCTCCTCCCCTCTCTCTCCTTCGCCTTCGTGTGGGGTGAGGTGGGATGGGATTGGACGCATCGCATGTGTGTGTGTGTGGTGGTGGACAGACAGACAGATGGACTGACACTAACAGCTCGGCTCGGCTCTCGCAGTGAGTGACATGGGACTAATCAACCAACCGACCTCATTTTGTGTACGCCCCGGTGGTGCGCTGTTGCAATGAGTCAGTCAATCACTCCATGAGTCGTCATGCCATCGATCCACCATGCATATGCATGGCAACAGCATGCCATGCAGTGTCCCCTCCCCACGTGGTATGTCTATCGATGGGTCGATGGATGGAGAAAAAAGGCGTGCTTCCTTTCTCGCCCGTCCGCCCGCCCAGAACACCCCCAGGAAGCCAGCCAACACTCTCGCGGTCATTCGGGTAGAGAGATACAGACAGACGGGCAATGCACAGCATAGAGGCTTCATTCAGACCTTAAGGACCAACAGCCTATCTCCCACTCTCACACAGGACACCACACCACACCACACCACACAACTCAACAGAACATAACCCACCCCATACGCCCTCTCTGCGCATGTGTGTGTGTGTGTGTGTGTGTGTGGCCGCTCAACCGCACGGGTCATCTGTCGGCAGCTGACCTGCCCCAACCGAAACAAGACAGGACCAATGGTGATAGGTGCTGTCATGTTCACGCTGGCTCAGGTCAGTGACCAACACACCACGCCTGGGAAAGAGACGACGAACACCCCCCCACACACACGTGCTCTCTGTTCTCGTCTCGTCCACCCCACCCGCCCTCTCGTCATCACACACGAAGGGAAACCGAAATGGATGGATGGATGGATGAATGGAACGAACAAACCACACACACACACACACAGACTCGTCCTTCGTGTCTGTCTGTCTGTCTGTTCTGTCTATCCGTTGTGTCTTGCTTGATTCAATTATGGCGCACGCACAACGATATGGCACAGCCAGGAATGAATGAATGAATGAACACAAATGAATGCATTCAGGGTATTAATATCGATAGCTAACAGGGAGGATGGATCACGACCCGAATGAAATGCGATGCTGGTGTCATGTGTGTCATGTGGGGTGGGGTGGGCTGCACTCGCTGCTCATTGGGCACGCAGGCAGCCGTGCCGGCCGTGGTTGGTTCGTCTGCCCGCCTGTCTGTCCGTCACCCAAATGCGGTGCAATGGATGCATGGATGGGGGAAAAGATGGGTGGCTCACTCTCTCACTCAGTCGACCAGGGCAGGGCAGGGCTAGGCAACACACACGCACCCAGATCCACACGCAAGCCCACACAGTGTCCAGAAACAAAAGGGGGCCGGCCGTGGCCGTGTGTGGTGTGGTATGGTCTGTGTCGTATCAACAGAACAAAATACAAATGGGGGTGGGGTGGGGTGGCTGGGGGGATGGATGAATGAATGGCGTCCGTCCGTCGGGGAAAACCAAACCAAACATGAGGCATTTTCGGTCGTGGCTACACGCATCAGCATCATGCAGGCAGGCAGGCAGGCAGGCAGGCAAGCAGAAAGCCGGGCAGGCAACACAGCTCTCATCCTGTCTATCTATCTGTCCCTCCTAGCGACCCCTCTCTGTCTGCTGCGGATCCGTCAAAAAATGCGGCTTCTCCTCTCGCCCTCTCCACTCTCCCCGTCTCTCTCTCACTCGTGTTTCTGACTTCCTCTCTCTCTCTCTCTCTCTCTGAGCGAGCGTGTCTGTCTGCGTTTCTGAGATACAGCACATCAACCGCTGGGTCGTTCGGCAGTTGTTTGTGCTGGCAGCGGGCAGTCAGTTGCGATCTGCCCGGCCCTGCAGGCACTGATGTCCCCTATGTGTCCCCCTCTCCCTCTCTCCCCCCCTCATATTTCGCTCTGCTTCACTTCGGAATGACACACACATGCGCACACGCACGCACACACACACAGACATACAGACAGACAGACGCATAGAGACAGAGAGGGCAATACAGCGATAGAGAGAAATGAATGTCCCTGCCCCTGTAAGGATGGAAGGATGGAGGTGTGAGCATGTAAGTGTGGATACCCCCCCCCCCCCC